AGCTCTGGAACATTCTGGAACATTAATACTAGCAGCCAATCACAGTTCACAGCTCTGGAACATTCTGGAACATTAATACTAGCAGCCAATCACAGTTCACAGCTCTGGAACATTCTGGAACATTAATACTAGCAGCCAATCACAATTCGCAACAGACAGGCATACGGGCAAAGTGGAGAAATACGAGATTAGCCATACACGACTCATACACGACTCACGAGCGACTTACGGCAGGGTACATACATACATACTCATATCTGTGGACAGTAACTGTTTCGCTCTGTTAGAGCTCCTCAGCACAGCTCAGAGGACCGAAGCGCAGCTCTTCGCAATTAAATACGTTTCCGTGAAGCAAAGCATTTTTATAAAGAGCTGCAAACCCCGCCAAGAGTGCTCGAAATGCTCCAAGAGCAGTGAGCGTTGCACGAGGCGAGCGGCAAGGGTTCGCGCTAAGGTAAGAGTGCTCAACCTAACGACATTGCTGACGCTAGGGAGCATAATACATACATACATACTTTTTGAAGTACATACATATCACGCTCCTCGGCTTTCGCCTTGTTGAGCACTCTCAGTAGGCTGCTCTAGTGCTGCTGCATCGCGCAATGCCCGCTACATTTTGTAGTTTGAGCACTCTGGCGCTAGAGCGACGAGCTACCTTAATGTCTGTGGTGCCTCCTTTGCACCATGGCTGGTAGCTCGGCCTATTTAGCTCGTAGCTGTACTCATGAGGCCTTTATGGCTGAAACAGCTTGTTGTCTACAGCATTGGGTACATACATACATACATATTGATCTTGATCTTGATCCTGCTGCCAAGTCTGGCTACGCAGTCCCCGAAGGTACAGGTCAAATGGTACTAGTCACCCTGCCGCATCGGTGGCGTGTCCGGCCGCTAGTCGAGCGGAAGGTCCGGTGACAGGCGGAGCACTCCAGGGGTGGTGCCGCTGTAGTTTGGATGTCAGTCAGTTTGCACTTGTGTTGAGTCCTTCCACTGATGGACGTGAACGTTCGCTGGCATACAAGGCACGTCAAACCTGGCCCGTCTCGAACTGCTGGCGGTTTCCGTTGTTGTTGCTGCCGTCGAGGCTGGCTGAGGGAATGAGCTGGATTGTTGCCGCACAGATGGTTTGCCAAGCCCCCACGAGATAGGAGCCAGCGGCCGCACGCATTACACTGAACAGACCCAGACTGCTCTCTCACCGGCTTTGCTCGCTCCACTGTGCACTTGTGACGCGCCATGTAGCGGGGCTGAGAGAAACTCCGGCCGCAGGTGTCACACAGGACCGGCTTGATCTTGTGCTCAGTCCTGGTGCGGTGCGCGCAAGCAACAGCTTCAAGGCATGCTGACCTCCAGGTACTCCGGCAGCTGGTTGCATCACACAAGTCTCTCTCCTTGACATTAGCCATCTTGAGGTCAGCACGGATTGCATCTTTCCACCGCTTCTTGGGCTTGTGTTGAGGTCGCGTCTGGGTCAGTGAACCGAACAGGAGTAGCCGGGGCAAGCGTTCGGGCGACATGCGGATAACATGACCAAGCCAAGTCAGTCTGCGAAACATAATCTTCTCTGTAACTAGCTCAGTATCACCCCACCACCACGTTCGGACTGTGGATGAGGACAAGCGTTCCTCTTGCTGCCTCTTTCCGCTGATGCCAAATATAGTCCACAAGCATTGGTTGTGGCATACATACATACATACTTGTCAGTTTGAGCACTCTGGCAAGGTACGTTCAGGTCTGATTTGAAATTTTTATTTTCATTGCTATCAGGTTCGGCCCCATTTCCTCTGTGCTGCGCTGATGAGTTCGCAAAGAACGAAACAGCACGCTGTCCGCAGATTGAGTATTTTCGCTCCTGCTCTTGTAGTAGTTGAGCACTCTCATGTGGGGTAGTGCCTTTGCTGTTTGCATTACGCAGAGCTCACTGACTTGTCAGTTTGAGCACTCTGGCAAGGTACGTTCGGGCCTGATTGGAAATTTTTATTTTCATTGCTATCAGGTTCGGCCCCATTTCCTCTGTGCTGCGCTGATGAGTTCACAAAGAACGAAACAGCATGCTGTCCGCAGATTGAGTACATACATACATACATACATACATACATACATACATACATACATACATACATACATACATACATACATACATACATACATACATACATACATACATATATCAGATTGAGTACATACATACATACATACATACTGCCGTGGACGTGGAAATCCGGTCGATTGACCGAGGCCGGCGCCCTTAGGGCGTACTGAACGCTGCGTGAGGTCTCCCCGGGAGAGGGGAGAGAGACTCAAAAGGAATCTTGGAAAGATGACTCAATTGGCCATTGAACCACGCAACGGCCGACACCACCTGAAATCCCCAAACTAGGGTGGACTTGAAATGATCCCACTTATGGGCTCACCACACCTCAGTAAGTGGGTGAGGACAAGGTGCAGAAAAAGGATTGACGGCATCAGGGTATCCGTCCGGGGATCCAACTGCAGTTAC